GATGGTGTGGTTCGTGTCGTGTCTATACGAACTGGTCAAGGAATCATTCGTAGGGCAGTGTCCAATATCTGCCCTCTTCCTATATGCAGTAAAAGTGATATCAGTGACTGATTATCGTGTTATATAACTGTTTTATTTGATTTATGTACGCCCAATGTTATTCATATATGTTTGAAAGTTTAGCCCTTTCAAGGCGGGGGGCATTTTCAAATTTCATTCTTTTAAATGAATATAATTATGTTTATATTTTGGGCAAGGTCCATCCTGTAGGTTTAACCGTCGACGCAGCTTGTTCGCGCCATCCGGCAGCAGTCTAGAAATATACGTTCTAAAGTCAACATGTAGTTTTTCTAGTTTATGGCTCATTATTCATCTAATCAATGGGTGTAAAACCACCATACTTCAAGCAAAGCAAACATACAGTCCACTTCTAATTCGAGGGTATCCATCAACTAGAATACTTAAGTGCTATGTTTTCTCCACCTTGCTCTATGGTGTTGAAGCCTGGACAATGACAGAAGCAATATAAAAAAGAATCCAAGCATTCGAACTCTGGTGTTACCGTAAAATGCTCAGAATATCCTACATGAGCCATACGACAAATGCAGAAGTCTTGCGGAGGATGAATGAGGAAATAGAGCTTATGCTTTTAATAAAAGAACGGAAAACACAATATTTTGGTCACATCATAAGAAATCAAAAGTACAAACTGCTCCAACTTATAATCGAAGGCAAAGTCAATAGCAAAAGAGGACCAGGAAGAAGGCCCAACTCTTGGCTTAAAAACCCACGGCAATGGACGAACATGACCTCCATAGAACTATTCATTGCTGCTACAAATAAGATTAAATGGGCAAATGTAATGGCCAACGTCCTTAAGGATAAGGCACCGTAAGAAGAAGAATAACCTATAGGATTGGGTGGCTAAGCAAACGAGATATTTCACAAAAGGCACTTATACCAAACAACGATAATTCTTCGAATTGTTGAGGGTTCCATGTAATGTCCAACTATACATTCTGGTTTCAGAACACATACCATAAATCCATAGCTTAGATAACATCGGGCCAATATACACAGTTCTGGAAACTATTAGTGTCCCGGTAAGGGTCTAAAATAAATATTTATTTTAAATATAAAAGAAAAAAGGAATTTTTGGGCTTACCTCGTCAAGAGACCACTCAAACAAAATTTCGTCCCGTATGTTGGACGTTCAAAGACAGAAAGTGAAGGTTACGAACGCTCAGATTTTTGAGGCCATAGTCGGAAATATTATGAACTGCAGTTGGATCCATGAGGTAATTTAGATATTTTTGCACTCGGCGAATAGGTGGCGTGAACAACACTATTTGAATATTTACTAGAAATTATAATAATAAATTCTTAAAACTTATTTATAGAACAATTTTTGAGAAAAAATAGGAAAAATGGCCCAGAAATGGTATGGGTGGCGAATTTTGAAAAATTGTATCTAGGATACTGTAAATCTTAAAGATTTCTACTAAATGATATTTTGAAGAGAAATGAGTGATTTTATTTCTGAAAAGCAATGCCTGTAGCTATACCCACGGAAAAAAAGTTATGAAACAACAAAGAAAAATCGCGTGTGGTCCTGTTTTTTTTGCCTCGTCTTTCTACTCGATTTTTGTAAAAAAAACAAATATTTTTAACTTTATACGTGTGACATTTCGATAAGGAACTTAATTTTGAACAATTTTTTTGTAAATGTATCTACACGAAAATTCCATGGAATTTACCTAAAGGCACCCTAGTGCATAGGAACGAATTCACCCCTTTCTCAAATACGCCGCCCTTTAAATGGTAGCAGTCTGTGGTTTTTTCGCGGTTTATTTGGAGGTCCATTGACCATATGAAACTGTAACCCCCTTAACGTTGTAGTTAATTTTAGCCCTGTTTTGTTGGATATAATTAATAACCTAATATTAAAATTATATATATATATATATATATATATATATATATATATATATTTATATATATATATATATATATATATATATATATATATATAGATATATATATATATTTATATATATATATATATATATATATATATATATATATATATATATATATATATATATATATGTATATATATATATATATATATATATATATATATATATATATATATATATATATATATATATATATATAATGGCTATACACCCCAGTGTGGAATTAAACCGCAAATGCTTTCTAGATACTATTTCTTAAGTGGATTAGTCTTTTTTGTTTATCTTATCTTCTTGACAATATCCCTCCATTTTTTCCTGTCTCTAGTTCTTCCTCTCCATTCACTGACTCCTGCCCTTTGGAGGTCTTCTTCAACTTCTTGCAGCCACTTTGATCTCGGTCTTCCCCTTCTCTTTCTTCCTCCTGGATTCCATTCTATCATTGCGTATGTCACTGCAAAATAAGCTTTATTCGCTGCTAATATTTTTTCTTTTATTTCGGATTTCATTTCTCCGGATTTACTTATTGTAACTCCTAGTATTTGAAGTATTCTACTTCTTCAAACTCAGAACTTCCTATTTTGACTTTTTACTTCATTGGTTTTTTCCCTAATCTTAATATTTTTGTCTTTTCTTGATTTAATCTTAGCCCCATTACCTTCCCTTTCTCTCTTATTTCTTCAAGCATTTCTTTCATTACTTTTCTGTTCTTTGCAATAATAGCAATATCGTCAGCATATGCAATTATTTGACCACCTCTTGTTCTGAGATTTCCTTTATTTATATTTCGCAGTACATATTCTAATGCTAGATTAAATAGCGTTGTTGATAAGGCATTTCCTTGTTTCATCCATTTATTTATACTGAATTCCTCTGTCTCTCCTCTTTGTGTCTTTATGCTTATTTTTGTAGTTCTCATTGTCATTTCTATTAATTTTCTGAGTTTATGTGGAATTTTTAATTTTTTAAGTGCTATCATTAATACGTTCCTTTAAATTGAATTAAATGCCTGTTTGAAGTCTATAAATAACATTTCCAATTCCAATTTATACTCTTCTGCTTTTTCCATTATTTGTTTTATTGTGTGTATTGCATCTATTGTAGATCTTACTTCTGTGAATCCATATTGGTACTGTCCTACTGTCATCTTTGTGATCTTTGATAACCACTTTTTTATTATTGATGTCAATATTTTATATGTTGTATTTAGTAATGTTATTCCTCTATAATTTTCACAGATTTGTTGGTCTCCCTTTTTATGTACTGTTATGATCTGTCCTACCTCCCAGTCCCCTGGCATTTTCTCTTCTTTCCATATATTTTTCAATAGTGCCAGTATTTTTCCTCTTAGTTCCCTTCCCCCGTATTTTATTAGTTCCATATTAATTCCATCTTTACCAGGGCTTTTCCATTTTTGCTTCTCTTTATTACTTCATTTCGTCTAATGTTGGTTCTTTTGAAATTCCGATGTCTACTTTATCTGCTTCTTCTTCGTGTACGGTTTCCTCCTCGTTATGCATTTCTTCTTCTGTTGTTTCCTCCGTCAAGAGCCCTCTATAGTAACTTCTCCATACTTGCTTTTATTCTTGGTCCTCTATTATCACTATTCCCTCTCTATTTTTTATTCCGTTTGTTTTGCCCTTGTATTTTTTGTTTTGTTCTTTAATCTTTTTGTAAAAACTTTTCGTATTTCTGTTTGTTCTTTCCTGCTCTATTTCCTTCATTTTTTTGTCTACTTATCTTCTTTTATGTTGCCTTATTACTTTCTTAGCATTCCTTTTTAATTTTTAATATTCTTCTCTGTCTTCCTCTTTATCTGTTCTTAGCTATTTATTTCTGGCTTGCACTTTTTTTCCTGTTATTTCTCTACATTCTTGGTTATACCATTCGATTTTTGTTTTAGTTTGACTTTTACCTATCTGCATATTTGCACCTTCTGTTATTGATTTTTTGATCGTCTCCCATTCTGTGCTTATAACTTCTGCTTTATATTTCTCTTTTATTTAAACTGTTAGTGCCTTTTCATATTTTTTTCTTACTTCTTCATTACTCAATTTATTGACATTCCACTTTTTATGTTGGTTTTTTTGTTTTGTTTCAATTTTAACTTTTTGTCTTATAGTGGCTGTGACCATGTAGTGGTCTGAATCTGCACACGCACCTCTAAACGTTCTTACATCTTTTATTGACGATTGTTTTCGTTTATTAATCATTATGTGATCAATTTGACTATATGTTTTCTGATCTGGTGACCTCCATGTTACCTTATGTATTTTAGGGTGTTCAAATTTTGTTGAGCTTATTAACAAATTTGTTCTTGTTGCTAGGTTACATAGTCTTTGCCCATTGTCATTTTCCAATCTGGGCGTTGAGGTCTCCCAGTACAAATATGACATCTTCTTAGGGTATTTTTTCTATCTATATTAATAAAATTATAGTTAATACAATCCTGAATGCTACTTTCAGTTAATAGACTTATTTCAATTGATTATTATCAAAAATATTTTTGAATGTTAAGTTATTCCTTACCTAAATTCTAAACAATTATAAAATAAAACAAATGACGGTATTATATTTTGATTTGATACAGAGCAGCAACAAGCCGCATATACGTATTTCGATCTCTTTAGATCTCTTCTGTACGGTATAGTTACTACTCCATGTACTCCATGGAGTAGTAACTATACCGTACTGAGGAGATCTAAAGAGATCGAAATACGTATATGCGGCTTGTTGCTGCTCTGTATCAAATCAAAATATAATACCGTCATTTGTTTTGTTTATTTACTTCATTTGGAGTACCAGAAATCGAATTCACTACGAATATAGGCCATGATGAACGGCATTTGGAGTGCAATTTTTAGACTCCCTTGCCGATGCATTCATCAAGCTGTTTGCTTCGCAAGTCTTAGGGAGCACGGCGGCCTATATTTGAATTCGATTTCGCCAGGTAGAAATCGTATGATTTCTCTTTTTGTTAATTATAAAATAATAACATCGCTATTAATTTTTTACAGTCCTACTATGAATCCACCACTTACGGTATATATGGGTGTTTGGAATATATCCAATCCGACAGAATATATCCAAAGCAGTGCTGTTTCGAAAATAACAGTGAACACAGATTTCAATTCTTCATTATTAAGAAACGATATTGCTGTTTTACGCCTGATTCAACCTATCGTCTTTGGAATTTTTCCCAATATTAACACTATATGTCTTCCAGCGAAGGGTACATCTTTTATTAATGCAAATGGGTAAGTCAACCAATTTTAAATATCTATATATAATAATGTTTTTTTATCAGCAAATTTTTGTAAATAAACTCAACTGCGTTTCTCTGTAAAAAAGTAAACTTTATTATTTCCTGTACAATATTATTTATTAATAAATACATTGCCTGTAAAAAAGAAAAAACATTTAAAGCTTATATTCTAGTAATAATTTTTTTTATTATAACTAATAAATTAACAATCAGAATAAAAGAATGTATTCTATAAGTTAATGTGATGAGTTTAGGTCCTGTCCCTTGGTTCTGGCCTGATGTGCCCCCTTCAGTGAGAGAATCACGGGTCCATGTTACTTCTGCTGGCCAACGTCGCTTTAGTCGTCTGATAACTCGATATTAAGGTATTGCGGAAATTAATGGATTGGAGTGTGTGTTCACTTTTTGAATGTATTGTAATTTCTTTTGCTGGTATACTTCTTTCACTGTTGAGATATTGAGATCATCATAGATTCTTTGGTTGGTTACGTACCAGGGTGCATCAACAATTGCTCTTAAGGTTTTTGATTAGAATCTTTCCATAATAGCAATATTAGATTAACTACTACAGCCCCACAGCTCAATGCCATAATTTCTATATTGGTTTGATAACTGTTTTATAAATTAGAATATTATTTATTGACAGCTTGGAGTTTTTTCCAATTAACCAATTGATTTCTTTTGTGTAGCTATGTTAATGTGTTTGTGACTTGTAAGTGCTACTGTGTCATCTGCAAATGTGCCAATTGTTACGTTATGTGAAGTTGGTAGATCAGACGTATATAATATTTATAATAAATGTTACGAACACGCATTCAGCGTGTCCCCGTATAGCGGCTGCATCTCGAAAGCGACTCGATGTTTCGAGAAACATCAGTCACGTACGCCTAGAGGTGGGAACTTTCTAGAAAATAATAACTTTGGTATATATATATATATATATATATATATATATATATATATATATATATATATGTGTGTGTGTGTGTGTAACGATCTTAGGAGTTAGTATAGTTGATAAGATAGTATCGAACTGTAAAGTTGTAAATAAATATATTTATATAAATTCGAACCGCTCGTTTTATTTAATCTCGCTACAATTGGTGTCACAGTGTGAGGACAATAATTGATTTATTAAAAAATAAATTCAGCTGTAACTTTGAAAAAGAAAAGACTTTTGAACTTTTGAAAAGTAGTGTTCGTCGGGAACATCCGCGTTGTTCGGTAGTGATCGTTGTACGAAAGAACATTTCAAAAAGTACGTGTGTGCCTGACCAAAGATGCTGCTAGTAGAACTTTCAGTGGAACAGTTGCGTGAGCAACTAGAAGAACGCGATGAAGACTGCAGCGGGTCCAAGAAGATACTACAAGAACGACTGAAGACTGTTCTCAACAATAATGGAGAAGACCCAGAGACATTCCAGTTCCAGTCAGCAGAAGAAGCAGTTTTAACGAAAATAAAAAATGTGTCATAAATAATTGAAGAATCTTCTAAAAAAAATGATAGTAAATTTGAAGACGTTTCACAAATGATTGAAGAATCTTCTCGAAACAATGATGAAAGATTCGATGAAACGTCTCAAATTATGAAAGAAATAGCTAGACAAAATGACGAGAAATTTGAAAATGTATCTAGAAGATTCGACGAGACTTCTCAAATAATTAAAGACGTATATAATCAAAATAATGAGAAATTTGAAGAAGTTTCTAAAACATTCGATAAGGTAGAAGAGAAGATCAAACAGTTAGAGAGCATGATAACTAACACGAAAGTACTACCACCAATTAATACGGTAGCTTTAGATCTGGTAGTAAAAGAAGAACCACCGAGAGACGAAACGACACATCATATGAGATTCAAATTGCCACCATTTGATGGAAAGTCTTGATCTATTTACCTTAGACAATTTGAAGCTATTGCGACAGCCAATCATTGGACAGAACAAGAAAAAGCTGTTTCCTTGACTGCTGCTTTACGAGGTGATGCTGCAGATATCCTAAGATCGATTCCTAAGGGTCAAGACCTTGTTCACTCGACTAGACAAACGTTACAGAGATGCCCATCTACAACAAGTCTACAAAGTACAAATAAGAAGTAGAATCCAACGAGCAAGTGAGAGTTTGTAAGAATTTGAAGCAGATATTGCTCGTATAGCGCTGTTGGCCTATCCAGAGGCACCAGTCAACATTTTGGAAGAAATTGCTGTAGATGCCTTCGTCAATGGGTTAAGAGACAATGAACTACAGAAAGCTTTACGACTAGCAAGACCGAAAGTTTTAGATGAAGCGCTCGCCATTGCCTTGGAACATGAGATAGCTAGTCGAGTTTCGTGGAGCTATCAAGTACTCTGAAGAGAGTGACAAACGAAACGATAAACGTCTGGAGGAAATCGTACTAAAAGTAGTTCGTAACATGATGCCGAAGAGACGTGAACCCAGATGTTGGAATGGTAATAACGAAGGTCACATTCGCCACAAAGTGCAAGAAAATAATACAACAGTCAGAAAGCTAAAACAGATCGAGCACTGGGCTGGAAAAAGTCATTCAAATGCTGATGTTCAATCAAGACGGCCATACAGTGCAAATCGTAATCATTGTCTTGAATTAGAAGAACGTATTTGCCCCGTGAGGCGAACCACGGTTATTAATGATCAATGGCAGCCTCAACAGCTACAAGACGCTCAAGCAGATGATCTATGTATAAAAAGAGTATTGGATTGGGGGCGTCGAAGTGAAAGACCTGCTTGGCAAGACATTAGTGCATGCAGTCAGCCAATGGAATTGCCTAGTGCTGAAAGATGATCTTCTGTATAGAACCTTTGAGAACGATGATGGTACAGAAACTAAGCTTCAGTTGATTGTACCTAAAAGTAAAGTGTCAGAAGTATTGCGTCAGTTGCATGACGGTGCATCAGGTGGACACTTTGGTATTACGAAGACTCTGCAAAAGGTTCGAGAACGGTTCTATTGGGTGAACTGTAAAGATGATGTAAGATGGTGCCGGAAATGTGAACTGTGTGCAACCAGTAATGGTCCAGTTGGTAAAAAAAGGGCACCCATGAAACAGTACAACGTTGGTAGTCCTATAGAAAGAGTAGCAATCGACATTGCAGGTCCACTTCCAGAGACAAATCATGGAAATAAATATATCCTGGTAGCCATGGATTATTTTACGAAATGGACTGAGGCCTACGCGATACCAAATCAAGAAGCTGCTACCGTTGCAGAGGTACTTGTTAAAGAATTCTTCAGCCGATTTGGTGTTCCTTTGGAGATCCACTCCGATCAAGGGCGAAACTTCGAGTCAACTCTTTTCCAAAACGTTTGTAAATTGATTGTTGTTAATAAGACCAGAACGACACCCCTGCATTCTCAATCAGATGGAATGGTCGAGAGAATGAACCGAACAATGGGTAAACACCTGTCCAAAGTTGTATCAGAACATCAAAGAGATTGGGACCAGCACATTCATTTATTCCTAATGGCCTACCGCTCGGCCGTGAATGAAACTACCGGCCAGACTCCAACCTGCCTGATGTTAGGTCGTGAAGTTCGTTTGCCCTGCGACCTAGAGTTTGGCTGCAGACCTTCCGAAGAACATGTTGCAAGCGAAGATTATGTCGACCGTCTAAAGTTAAGAGTGAACAACATTCATGAACTTGCCCGACAACACATCCAGTTAGCCAGTGACAGAATGAAAGATCAATACGATTCTCGATGCAAGAATGAAAGCTATGAAGTAGGTGATCTTGTTTGGCTTTATAATCCCAACGTCGCCGTGGCTTGTCTCCTAAACTGCAAAGACAATGGGAGGGTCCGTATGAAATTAAAAAGAGAATAAATGACGTAATATACCGAATTAAGAAGTTGCCGAAAGGTAAACCAAAAGTAGTTCACATAAATCGTCTTGCACCTTATGCTGGCTCAAATGAAACCGAAGAAGTCCGAACCCTTCAACATGAGATCAAAGATGATCGGCGACCAAGCTTTAATGAGTTTATGTCAAATTACGCAGAGAGAAAGAGTGCTAGATTCGGCGTAACGACAGAAGTTCAGCAGGGTCTTTTTAGTGTTCCGCATAACGTCACTGTAGCCCACTGTGTTGCCCAAGATCTTAAGATGACTAAAGAAATCTCATCTGTATTTTATAAGAAATTCGGTCGTTTGGACGAGTTAAAAAACCAGCAGCCTAAAGTTGGAAGAGTACTGAGATTAGAAAATGGTTCTCGATCTTTGTTGTATATGGTGACCAGAAAGTCGTATACAGACAGGGCAAGCTACGAGGATATATGGCGTGCTATAACTAATTTGAAGAAAATCGTCTGCAATTACGACATTAAGAATTTGGCCTTACCCAAGATAGGCCATGCACTAGATAATCAGGATTGGAAGATTGTCAGAAGCATGCTAGAAGTGATCTTCCGAGAAACCGGTGTAAGAATTACCATGTGTTGCACTAATCCAAAGAGATTGTGTCCTTGAAATAACAGTCTACTGTCTTTGAACACAGACTTTGAAGACAGTAGACTGTTATTTCTTTCTGAGGGGTTCATGCAGAGCTGGAGAGTCCTGTAGATTTCGCCATCCTGGGCCTACATATAGAGTTGCTGATCGGGACGCTCAGATCTAAGAGGGGAGCAGTATTACGAACACGCATTAAGCGTGTATCCGTATAGCGGCTGCATCTCGAAAGCGACTCGATGTTTCCAGAAACATCAGTCACGTACGCCTAGAGGTGGGAACTTTCTAGAAAATAGTAACTTTGGTATATATATATGTAAGGCTCTTAGGAGTTAGTTTAGTTGATAAGATAGTATCGAACTGTAAAGTTATAAATAAATATATTTATATAAATTCGAACCGCTCGTTCTATTTAAAAACGGTACATAAAGATTCCAGGACGCTGCCCTGTGGAATTTCCGCCTTAATGGGATGCATTTTAGATATTTCTCCATTTACACTGTCGGTTTTTAAGTATAATGTAAGTTTTCGAAAGAATGGTGGTAATATTTGTAATTTTATAAAGAAGTCCTGTGTGCCAAACCTTATCAAAAGCTTGACGTACATCTAGTGATACCATTGGGCAATATTATTTTTCTTCTAATGCAGAATTGATTTTATGGGTTATTCGGTGGCATTGCTGGATAGTTGAGTGTTCTCATCGAAATCCAAACTAATAATTTGGTATCCAATCTGCGCCTGTAAAGTCTGGATCTATTCTTTTTATTAAAAGTTTTTCTAGTAATTTGGAGATTGTTGATAACAGACTGATAGGTCGATAGGATGGGACTTCACTTGGATCCTTTCCTGGCTTTAGGAATAAAAGTATTTCTGCGATTTTTAGATTGTTTGGCCAATAATTACATCTTAATATTGCGTTAAATATATATGTAAGGAATACTATACCGTTGTTTGGTAATTCTTATAGCATTTTTGGTGTTATTAGGTCAATTCCTGGTGACTTTTTGATATTTAGTCTTAAGATTTCTTTTTTAATTTCTTTGGATGTTGTTAATTTTATTCGATTTACTGATGGTTGTTCTGAGTTTAAATAATTAATAATTTCTTGATCTTTTTTATTGTTGTGTGTTTAGAATACTGTTGCTAACTGTTCAGCAAATAATTCTGATTTTTCTTTATTGCTTCTTGCCCATTGGTTCTGTGTGTCTGTGGTTTTACTTACTGGTGGAGATATTGCTTCAGGTTTTAAGGATGATTTGATTGATTTCCATATTGAATGGTCGTATCTATTAAGTTGTGTTACATATTTTTTGACTGATTCTTATCTTCCCATTTTTAGTTGTGTTTTAAATTTATTGCTTAAGCGATTGTAAAACGTTTTATCCGCTGGGTTCCGACTTTGTTGCCATTTGGCTCTTGCTCTTCTTTTTTCAGCAATGCGCTTTTTAATTTCTAGTGGAATATTTATTCTATTCTCGATTTTATTTCTATCTGCATCGTTCGGTGTCGCTTCTTTTGCAGCGTTTTGCACTAATTTCATAAGGTTGTTTGTAGCTGCTTCTATTTCTGAAGGGCTTCTTAGTCTTACATTTAGTTTAATGTTTTCATCCAGTATTTTTCGGTAAAGGTTCTAATCTGTTCTAGGTCCATGCAGTTTTGGAGTAAGTTATTTGTTAATAACTCAGGTGCTAATTGTTGCAGTAATTGATGAATGATCTGAAGATAGATCATAACTTGGAACTATGTCCATAAAGGTGCTAGATATTCCTTTTATGATGCAAAAATCTAAGAGGTCTATGAGAGTTATAAAAATTACAGGCAATAAGTAATAATAGCGAGAAAATTGACAATGGTAAAATTAAAGAATTGTCACTGTCAGCACCTCACAAGAATGTCTAACATAAAAACAAAAAGAACTTAATGTTTTGACAGTGGCGTAACAAAATGAGAATATGAGAATATAAATAATGCTAATTTTATATTGTAAGAAATAGAAATACATACTGTTAAAGAAAAACAAAACAATAGTTTTTCTTTACATCTCCCCCGCCCCCTTTGGCGAGAAATTTTAAAACAAAAATTTATTGTTCACTAAATATTTTTTTGTTCTTTAATATTTTGTATGATCCAATCCTTAATTCGTCTTACTTCTTTCTCTTTAGTCGGTTACCGTTCTCCACATATACTAAATCCCCAATGTTTAAATCAATTTCCTTCCTATGTAGATCGAACTGCTTTTTATTATAATCATGTGATTTTTTTGTATTTTGCAAATTACAAGACTAACATCTAAAGTCACCATTTTATGTGTGACTTTAGATGTTAGTTCATGTGACAGGATGCATATATTTTCTCCTATTAAATATTTTGGTGCAAATGTTAAGATGGTAGGTTCAGTTTCATTATATTTCTCTACACATTTTTGAGCAATTGTTGTCCATGCCGTTTTCCTGTCAATTTCATTTATTTTGGATCTAATTTTATTACCCAATATTTGATTTAATATTTCATTGATACCGTTTGAAAATAGTACATCAACAGCAGTAAATATCATTTTTATGTTATTGATATGTAGGAAATCTTTGAATTCTTTTGAGTTGATGTCAGATTTTAGGCACCACTTTTTAGATCTTATGTCTGTTCGGTAAAGAGCAATTAGTAAATCCATAAGATCGACACCTCCATAAATTTATTATAAAATTGCACTGCATTTGGACAGCATACATCGATTCTTAATTTTTGTTTCCTATCCCACCTCTTGACTAACGAAGTAGGCTCAGAACCAACAGATGTACTAAGCAAATGAACCGGTTTATTATCGTACCACTTTAACGCTGTTAGTCTTATGCCATCTACTGTAGCGTGCTTTTCTTCTACAGTACTTCTGCCCTGTTTCTTCATATTATTGTTATCAGAAAAATGGCAATTAGGCAATCTGTTTGGACGAACAGTTCCCAAACATTGCAGTCCACGTTTTTCCATTTCAATCTGCAACTGAATGCTATTGAACCAGTTGTCAAAATATACTTTATAGTATTTGTTTGGTTCAACTATCTCACAAAATCTTATTACTACATTACCGCTGGTGCCTACATTAGGTAAATGAAGAGGATGTTCAACATTTCCTGTTATGAACAGATATAATATATAATTCCCAGTTATAACCAATACCATTGCTATCACACAAAACAAATGCCTTGTACCCCATTTTTTTGGTTTGTTCTTCATATATTGTTTTAAAGAATGTGCCACTTTGAATCGTATCATTTATTCATCAATATACAATTTTTCACTCTTTGAAATACTCTGAAATTTTTTAACTAGACCGTTGATGAATGGTCTAATTTTGTATAACTTATCATTATGGTTGACCACATTTTTGTTATTATTGAAACGAATCTTAGTTTTTATTTCTTCCCAGCGATTCCTATATATAGTGTCAACTATTTGAACAACATGTGTTTCCTTCTGCCAAAATGATCTTGTCCTTGGCAAGCCATATATTGAGATCAGTAGAACAGATCCAATAAATTGGTGTAATTGTGCTAATGTCATATTCAATGGTTTATTATATAATGGTTTATTATATGTTATATTTATACTCTTTTGCAGTGCATACAAATTACTTTGTTCTACTATGTTTTTCAGCATATTGGTACATATCATCTTTTTAAAATAATATCGAGGGGATTCCGGTTCTAATTTGCATGTCGGTATATTACCTTTCCATTCTGGAATTGGAAATACTGTTCGGGGACTACTCTTCCACTGAATGTTTTTTTCGATCATTTTTGACCTTTTGAACACGTTTTGTTCAGTGTGTTTTTCTGTTTTATCGGTATCATCCTCATCTTCATCTTGGTCTTAATCTAAATTGGTATCCTGGTCTAAATTTGCTTCGTACAAATCGTCTTCACTTTCCATTTCAGTTGATCCTGGATCGATTGATATCTGAGTACCTATGGAAAATTCATTACCACTCTCTTCAAAGTCAGAGTCTTCGGATTCCTCGGATTTGTTGGGAACTTTTACAAACAATAACGGATATTTACTGCTTTTTCCGTAGAACGTTTTTGTATCCATTCTAAAAAAATTATTTAAAATGATATGGTCCAGTGTGGATTCAAAGCAACATACCTGTTTTTTGTCACAGTACTGAAACAACACAATAAAATAAACAAATTTCGACGGCAATCAATATCTAAATGCTGATATAATGCCTCTATGTATATTTATATAAATTGTACACAATTTATAACAATAAATCACGATCGAAAATACAAATTAATCAGGCAGCAATGTGAATTTGACATACTGTTAAAAATTTCCATATAGGTTTCGTCATAGGTTCATAGATGGCACTAAGTGTATTAAACTGTATAACCAAAAATGTCGCCTGAAATCAACAGAGAGCATCTTAGAGTCGGAAATTGTTTTAAAAAAGTTTTCTGCATTCTGCAAAAACCCCTTTATTTGCCTTGAGTATACACGGGGCTATAGAGGGTTAAATATAGTCATTCTGTTACCAAAAAATTAATTTCCAGAAAAAATTTCTTCTGAGTGTAACGGTAACATGTTGAAATTTTATCAATATAAGCCAAAATTTATTTTAGTTGCAGTGTAAGTGGTTGGGGACAAATAAATTTTACAACTATCACTGGTGTTCCCACTGTACCTCAAAAGAAAGCTTACGTTAACATAGTTAATGATACAATTTGTAGAGCTTCATTTCAGAATATACTGGGACGCCCTTCGACTGATGCGTACTTGGATCAAAATGGAGAAATATGTGCGGGTGGTGTAAGCATGATAGATGCTTGTACAGTAAGTATCAAAAAAAATTATTGTTATTTAGAAACCGATAGATAGATAATTTAAACTGTAGACAATTTTTAGCTAGCATATCTACCCCTTTAAAAGAAAAATTTAGAATTGAGAGATAACGAGAACCATAGTCCATAGAACCATAGAAAAAATTAGTCTTACTTCTATTTCGTCAGGGAGTGGTAAGAGACTCAAATTAAATCGAAACGCAACCTTCTTGGTATATATATATATATATATATATATATATATATATATATATATATATATATTATATATATATATATATATATTATATATATATATATTAATGTGTCAAAGTCTGAGGTGCCCCAAGCAATTAATTAGCTAATTAATTAATCAATTAAACTTATTTAAATAATGCAGTTAAGATTCTATCACACTATTTGATTCTCTTATCTCAGGGCTCTATTCGTGCTTCAATATCTATGCATTACATATGATAGGTAATGTCCAAAGAATACCGGAATAATAAAAAACATATATGATACAACATTATATATTGAAATAAAAATATATTAAAATAAACTTCACACTGAAATATCTTCAATAAGAAATATCTCATACAATGATTATCAAACTTTTGTTCTACGTACGTGAAACTTCAAAAATTAATGGTATATACAATATAAATTAAAATTTCAAATAAAAATTGTTGTTCTAAATCTCCTGATCAAAATATTCCTATCTTTTCCAAAGCAATTGTTAAAAAAATGTTTTGTCAATAAAGAAAAACTCTCGAATAGTAAAACTATCTCTCTGGTGATGAGTTGTCCAAATCCTTGTTCCTTGTAGCCTACTATCTATTCTTAGCAGTCCCCTAGGTAATTATTAACCTTATAACAAATTATTGCGAGCCTATCGTCTTTAATGATCTCCTTCAAATGCACGTATCGTTCAAATGATGCTAGCCACTTCTCCTCTCGATAAACTGAAGCTTTCATTCTAGCCTGAACAGTTACTCTTGGGAATATAAGTAGAAAAAATAACAATATTTTACTGGATCAGCTTCTGTCAGATACACTTTCTCCACGAAAACTTACAAACATTCACTTCTACTGCTTACTACCTCTCGGGAACCACCAGAGAACAATGACTGTTCGCCTTGCACACTTGGAACACAACTGATTATCTTTTTCCCTCAAAAATCTAGCTAAACTCTCCTTCTTACATACCTATCCCACTTTTTTTAATCTCCTCCAATCAAAGCTCGTCATACGTATCCCTATCTCTTCATTTAGATAACAAACAACAATTTTACCTATAATTATAAATTTCCTAAAAACTGTTAACATGCTAATCGGTTTCTACAAATTCTTAAGACCTAACGGAGAAATATATTTTCTAAATATAATCTATTCTATTATCTTATTCACTGTACAAGTCCATTTGGAAAACTCGCTCGCATTGTTCATGATTTCACTTAAGCTCACTCACGTCCCTTGAATATATTTTACAAAAAATGCACATCTAATAATTTATGCACATCTTAAATTTTGTTTACTACAGGTAATCCAGGATAATGGATTTTTATTTCTTCGAAATATCTTGTATAGTTTATTAGTCGAATTATTTGAATTATTATATTTTGTACTTTGAAATATATTAAGCAAACCAATATATATATATATATATATATATTATATATATATATATATATATATATTAGTATAATGGTAAGGTTAATTGGGTTAGCAGCTGAATAATGAAAGCCAAAGTGTGCTCTTTTCAACGACTTCGTTATATTTCGTTAAATTTCTTTAACATCTTCAGACGAATGCTACAATATGTTACAAAATGGTGAAATTGTGTATTTTACATAAGATGTAGTGAAACACTTACTTGTGTGAGGTTGCAGGCAAAAGTGGTATTTGAAAGTTCCATGTTGAAAAACTTTTTTGAAGATTTTTTTATAAAGCAAAAAAAATATAAGTTGTATGTGTTATATGGTGGCTTGAAAACTCAAACAATACAAGTGCATTTTTGTTATTTTTCTCCAGTGTGATAGTACAATACAAATATTAAAAAACATTGAACATTTAAGAAACAAAACAGTTAAAACACAACTACATATCACATTGTCATTTTTTGGACCAGTCTATTCACCTATGCCCAAGGAGGTGAAAATTTAGTGTGTACCTCAAGGTTAAAGTGTCTTGTCAGCTATCATATTAGTAGATGTCAGCCAGAAAACTAAAGCTGTGTTCAGTTCATGTGTAAAGTTACATTTAATTGAAAATTATGTTATGTTAATTTAAGACAATTAAATTCTGTTGTTAATAAATATATATAGAATTTATTTATTTCTTTGTGATTATTTCTTTTAAAGTTATTTTAATTGTTGTTATTACTCTTAAGAATTTTATTTCCTGGAAAATGCAACAATTGCAATAATAATGATTAAGTTACTACTTCTATTGGATGGTCGGATGGATGGAAGAGTTTTAATAGACAATATTATACTATTCAGAATATTCCAGTTCGTTGACTTGATTATTTTTTGTTTCCAACTGTAGTAGAAAGGAATAAATTTCACTAAGGTGTTGTATATCTGATTTGGTGTTGATTATATTATCTGTTGTTGCTATGTGGGTCATTTCTAAAAAAAGTCTTCTCTTATAAGCTGTTTCTTTTTCGAGGATTTTGACATCTGCAAAATTCATTCTGTGGTTCTGGGTGTGAACGTGGTTGGCTAGGGTGCGTTGGGCACCTGAATAGTATAATATTCTGAATAGTATAATATTGTCTATTAAAACTCTTCTGACCATCCAATAGAAGTAGTAACTTAATCATTATTATTGCAATTGTTGCATTTTTCCAGGAAATAAAATTCTTAAGAGTAATAACAACAATTAAAATAACTTTTATTTTTTTTTTTGCTTTATAAAAAAATCTTCAAAAAAGTTTTTCAACATGGAACTTTCAAATACCACTTTTGCCTGCAACCTCACACAAGTAAGTGTTTCACTACATCTTATGTAAAATACACAATTTCACCATTTTGTAACATATTGTAGCATTCGTCTGAAGATGTTAAAGAAATTTAACGAAATATAACGAAGTCGTTGAAAAGAGCACACTTTGGCTTTCATTATTCAGCTGCTAACCCAATTAACCTTACCATTATACTAATTAATAATTGGACAGCTGTGATCATTCTTCCTATATATATATATATATATATATATATATATATATATATATATATATATATATATTATATATATATATATATATATATATATCCGGTTTTTTTAGGCGTTACGCCCGTCCGGTAGGGATCTATGGAGGAGTATCACCGAGCCGCAAGCCCTTATCTCTTGCCGTACTGCTCCACCATAGGCCGATCAGAACCCAGCATATCCTAGTCTAAGCCGCAGATTCATCTAGAATTTTAAACTGCTGCGTTAGACTTTTTATTTTCTGTACACCGAGCTGGGGCTCGACCCACATCCACTAAACCATTCGACAGTGAAGCGAATGAGAGGCAGCCGCACAGCCCGCTGAGCTATCTGACCGACGCTCGTCAATATTATTTTCAATTTTACATAGCATAACAATATATATTTATATATATATATATATATATTATATATATATATATATATATATATATATATATTATATATATATATATATATATGCTGTCACTATTTTTCCGGGTTTAACTCCGCGTTGTAAAATGCTGGTTTTCTTGAAAACCATTGTTTTGGCGACGTTTCGGCAAGGTCTCACTTGCCATTCTCAAGCCTGGTGGATCTACTTCTCGTCGTTACTCGATTAGTACTGTATAGTCCAGTTATTATATATATATAATTATATTGTTTATACATTTTATCAACATTTTATCGTTGTATTAGATACAACTCTTACAGATAGTTTAAACCCTAGCACAGGACTACATATAAAACAATATTTAAAAAATTAAATTCTTGACCAATTTTTTACTTTAAAATGTAAAAAACTATTTAAGTACTTCGCTTGAGAAATTTTTAGTTGATAAATACATTTTGTTTTTATTTATCTTAACACTCAATTTTAGTGTTGCAATTGTAAATAAATTTATTTTTTATTGATTAACAACATTAAACATATTACATGTTACAGCAAGATGGTGGTTCTCCTTTGGTGTGTCCCACAGCTTCCGGTGCACTTGGTCTTGCTGGATTGGTTATATGGGGTAAAAACTGCGGCCAACCCGGAGTATTTGGAGTATACGTTAATACTGTCTATTATACAGATTTTATTACCACAAATACGAAAATTTAAAATAATTGGACCACTACAAAAGTATTAGAAAAACTGTTTAGTTGTATTTGTTTTAAATTTTTAAATTTTATAAACTAATAAATAAACCTACTAAATATCTTTATTATCTATCACCATTATAACTTAAGCTATTAAATAATTTTACACAAAAAAACAATATATTCTCATACTGGTATGTCGTATTCTTCTGGAAATCTGTCTTTAACTCTAATAGTTGCTGTTGGTTTCCAAAAAATATTCGCTATCATTCTGATATTCCGATTATAGAGGTTGTTAATTATTTCATATTTCATTATTACATAATTCAAAATTTGAGGTTTACGAGATTTCTGTTCCTTAGTATCAATATTTATGTTATTTTATTGCTGCTAGAACGACACATGAGAATTACCTTCGGTGGTGGAAAAAGAGCGACAATGTCGTTCTAGCTCCATCCAGTATGTGCATTCCGCTTGCTATAATAACGTTGCATTTCAGTTGTGTTCAGTGTATATATACCACAAATAGTAGTGTCAGTGGAATAGGACGGATGGGGAGAGTGATTTGCATGGGCCCAGCCGTTCGTATTTACCCAAATAATGATTATACTATACAATGTTTTCAAAAAAAAATAATGAAGGAAATTCTACTAAAATCATCACTTATTTATTTCTAAAGAATTACGAGTATCCGCCAAAAAAAAATGTGTTAGTGTCAACATTGTAATCCACGCCTTTGCACGTTGCAAATGGCGATATAAAAACATCGTATCCCAAATTTTAGAAAGAGGCGATAAAACAGTATACATCAATTTTTATATATCTAATAAACACTGCTAAAAGAGAAGAAGGTATTAAACATATATTTCTGGTCGTTTTAGAATTCTAGAAACTAAAAAGTCATATTGATTCGCAAATCAGATTTTTTTCATAAAAAAGAAGAGAGTGCAAGGAAACCCCAGTCTTAAGAGATCTTCTAAACAAGAACTCAGCCATATTAAAGAAAATTCATAATGTGCCATATTAAAGTGGCCATATTATTATGACCACCTATGATTTTTTACAAAAATCGACTTCTTCACAACTTTTTGTTTAGAAATTTATTTTGAAATTCAATTTTTTATGCAAAATGTTTTAATTATAATATATTTATTAATAAACAGCAATAAAATATTTAAGAAGATTACATATTTATATAATTTTTAATATTTTGTTGAACCCCCTTTGGCTTTGATTACCGCTTGTACCCGTCTTGGCATACTTTCAATGCTGCAACTTTACTTCAGTTTTTCGTTATGGTTCCAATGATATACTAGTTTTTCAAATAAAACAATTTTGTTTGTGACCTTTTCTTGAGAAATTTCCCGTCTAAGAAGTTCCCAAACATTTTCTATGAGATTAAGGTCAGGAGAATTTCTCGGCCAGTCCAAGAGAGGAATATCATTCTCAACCAGGATTTTTTTCACTGATTTTGCAGTATGATATGGTGCTTCATCTTGCATAAATATACATTCTTATTAAGGAAACCATTCATGTACTTGAGGTATTAGTTTATTCTGTAATATTGATATGTATTGATCTTGTCACATTGTCCCCTTAACTAAGTCAATCAAGTCTCTTACTGCTAATGGTAGACCACACCATTATTATTGTTGAATGTTTTAGAGTTTTAACAACACATTCAGTTAAATACTTTTCTTCTGGTCTTCGTTTAATATATTGAGCTTTATTGGTTAATATTTCAAACGTTCGTCACTGAAGCAAACCTGTCAAAATAAAAAATTTTAGTTTAATCATGTTTAAAACTATAACTAAAAACTAAACTATAAAAATGCCAAACCTTTTTCCACTGTTATACAGTAAAGTTTTCGTATTTCTTTGCCCAATCTAGTCTTTTTTTCTTCATATGTTCTGTAAGAAGAGGCTTTTCAGCTAGACGTAGCCTTTTGAACACCATATCCATTAATTTTCGACGCACTGTAGCGTCGATACTTGGATGTGACCTTTCAATAAAGTATGTATTCCTTGTTAATTACGAATTAAATACTCTTATATTATTATAATACACTCTTATATATTCTTCTTCCTCTTCTTATATACTCTTATATATTTCTGTAGTTTCTTCTCCTATCGGAGGTTGGCTATCATCACAGCTATCCGTACCTTATTGGTGGCTGCTCTAAAAAGATCAATTGAGCTGCAACTATACCACTCTCTTAGGTTTCTCAGCCAGGAAATTCTTCGTCTTCCTATGGATCTTTTACCCTTAATTTTACCTTGCATTATAAGCCTTAATATCTCATATTTCACATCTCTGGTAATGTGGCCTTAATATTCCAGCTTTCTTGTATTGATGTGCTTTATGACCTCGCAATCCTTTTGTAGCCTTCTTCAAAAACACTTCTGCATTTGTAACTCGTTGGGTCCATGGTATTTTCAAAATCCTTCTATAGCACTTACATCTCAAACTCATACTCTTCTATATAGGTACTCTTATAATTATAATTAAATATTATTTTTTTTTAAATAACGACAAAAATATTTTATTCATTTGTTAATAACAGGAAAACTTTATTCAAAACAAATCGTCACTTGTAAAATTTTTATTTTGATGGTTACGTACGATGTGTTTCCCTTACGCCTTTATTTACTGAAAGAAAATTATTACGCCTTCATCATCCTTCATCATGTAAAAATTGCGGTAAAATACGGTTAAAGAAAATCTAGCAACGTCGGCACCATGGACGTATAAATAAAGATGGACTAGGCATGCCCTGCACTCTATTCACCTAAATTTGAAGTCGAAAAGTCTATAGGCGCGGGGAAAGAGACGAGGTGATAGACTGTGACATTTCCTTTTAAGCCAGCGGCGTACCTTCAAATATTTGAAAGTTATTAAACAGTTTTTTCACTTGAATAAATAATGACTATTGGTTTGACTTTTGCTTTTGCTTGCTTTTATTTTTAGTATCGTAAACATATGAAATATTTCGAATAAATGAGAAACAACAAACGGCGAATAATTTTAATTTTCAGTTTATAGAAATATATTTATAAAAATTAATTTACACAAAAGAATAAAGATAGAGTAAATAAAATCGTAAAGTACTTTATATAATATTTTATTTAAACTAAAATATCACACAAGCAATAAAAAGTTTAAAAAATTCTTCCCCAAACATTAACCTGTTCAGGTTATTGAGTTTGTTCTGCTCTTATCCAGTGAGTGATAAGTTGTAAAAATAAGGAATAAAAATTCAGGAATATGTATTTAAGAAAATATTAATAAACGTAATAAAACCATAAACCATTGTTTAACAAAACATAAACAACAAACCACATATACAACAATATATAAAACACATTAAAGCTTATGGAACGGGTAGGGTTCTAAAATAGAAATGTGCTTTATTGTCACTGAAATTTATACAATGCTTACAAAAAGTAAAAAAAAACAACAATAACAATTAAAATTTACTAAAATTATGAAAAATGGGCAATATCACAAAATAAAAGATAGTAAAATATACAATTCATTGCAATCTCTAATTGTTGCATAATAAAACCTTACGAAATAGTTTACGAATAAGTTTAAGTTGCTGCATGTGATACACAAATATATATATATATATATATATATATTATATATTATATATATATATATGTATATATATATATATATATATGATTTCAGATGATTTCCGGGTTTGACTCCGCGTTAAATAGTTTTGGTTTTTAGAAAAACCATTGTTTTGACGACGTTTCGGCAAGGTCACACTTGCCATTGTCAAGTCAGATTAGTTCTGCTTCGTTCAGTTCTCCTGAAACATCAAGACAAAGCAGAACTAATCTGACTTGACAATGGCAAGTGTGACCTTGCCGAAACGTCATCAAAACAATGGTTTCTCTAAAAACCAAAACTTTATTACCTAGTATGAGATCCGGTCTATTATGTGACCCTGGTTGGTATAATTATTATTATACAATGATATCGAGCCAAAGCAGAGCTTATGTGACCAAATTAAATAATGTATGTACTAAACTAAATAAAATACATAATATAAATCAAATTTTTTAACAAAGTAAAAATATAAATAATTTTCAAAAGATTAGTACTTACAAAAAGTTCTTGCAATAATAGCAAATTACAAAAATACAAACATTACAAAGTATACTTTTGAATACCAAGATTAAAAAATTTATTCTAATAAAGAGAAATCATACCAAATAATATATCCGTACCATTTTAACCATTTAAAACATTAACCATAACATATTAGTTTTTAGAAATAAAAAATTACACAACATTATAGTTAACATAATTAAGACTAGGTACAACATCCGGTTAGTTTTCATCAAACTTGTTTTTAAAACCATTTAAACTAGTAGATTTTACTATGGCATCACTTAAACTGGTCCATTTATTAAAATCTCGGTTAACTAAAAAGTTTTGCCTCACAGTGGTTTAAAAAGACTCCTTTTTAAAAATTCTATAAGAAGATATGACATCACCTCTTTCTCGTTTATGAAATAATGGAGACAACTTGGGCTTTCTTAGTCGGTTTTATAGGTTAATCTTTCATAATTAAAAGTAGCTTAGTAGCGCTTCCTTGTACTTCTTCTAATACAAAAATGTCTCTTTGCAAATAAGGTGACCAAACTGACAGTGCAAATTCTAGGTGAGGTCTGACGTAGCTTTTTTAGAGTTTCAAAAACAAGTCTGGAGACATTCTATATAAAGCTTTTGATATAAAATATATAGCAGAGTTCGTTTTACTAACTACTTTTGCTGTTTGAGAAGACCAACTTAATGTTTGGTTGACCGTAACACCAAAATCATTAACTTACCATATCGATTTCAGAGGAACTCCATCCCAAAAATATGTATATATTTTTGAAAGAAGAAAAAATGAAAAAAATTATTAAGTATTCCAATATTGTTGATATTCGTCATTACAGACAAATATTAATTGTGAATATTTTGGTCAGGTGTCAACGCAAACACCTATAATAGGTAAGTTTATTTGGTATTCCTACCAACAATTTTTTATTTACACATACGATAATATTATATACACGGTATTAACAACTAT